GAGTAAATATGTTTTGTTATTCCATGAAAAGGGTGACTCACCTGGCGAGGAAGCCCGAGCTCCCCGCAGCCACACGTGGCTCTCACAGGAGCCCCGGGGGTGTTACAGGGTCTGGGGGGGTGTGAGGGGCTGTCCCTGCCCCAGCACAGCCTCCCAGGGGTCCCCAAACACCGAGGAGCTCAATCCCCCCAGTGCTGAGTGCTGCAGGCTCCACACAGCCCAGCAGCTCCCACACCGCAGGAAGGGGCTGGTTTGGCTGGGGAACCTCTGTGGGTGTTTGGGTGAGGAAACAGGACCCAGGACTCCAAACAGGACCCCAGCTTGGGGGTGTTTGGGGTCTTCTCTGTGCTACTGGGCTACTGGGGGAGTCCAAGGCAGGTCAGGAACCCCCAGAGGGTTCCTTGGGAGCTGCTCCGTACCAGCTGTGCCACCAGTGCCCAGAATGCCACAGCCCTTTGTGGCTTTTTCAGCCAGGTGTTGCAGCACTTAACACGTTTTCTCCTTTTCTGAAGGCTCCAGAGGAAAGAGGGAGGCTGGAGGAGGGAGAAGAGGAGGAGGAAGGAGGAAGACAGGAGCAGGGTTCTTTCTGCACAGATTTACTGCTCCATCTACTTCCCATGCACTTCTGGGGTGCTGAACATGGTGTCACTTCATTTCACTCCATTTCCACCTTCTGGAAGGTTTTCTGTAGCAGGAGGGAGTTGGTGTCAGTGGCAGCTCAGGACACGGGGCAGAGCAGCTGCTTGGGCCAATTCATGCCTTTTATTTGTTCTTTTTTTAGCTGTCAGGTTCATACTTTGTCCTTTATGAGCACGTCCTGGGTAGGGCCATGCCTGCAGAAATCTGCTCTGCACAGACAGGTCGGGTTTAGCCAAGGAAAGAAGAGGAGGCTCCTTCAGAGGGGTCACAGAGAATTCTGCCACAGCCACTGGAGGACAATCCCTTGTTCCAGCCCTTCTCCATGGTCCCAAAATTTCAGACCCAAGGCTTCCCACCTTGCCTAGCCCATCCTGCAGCCCCTGGAGCTCCATGGATCCCCTCCCCTCACACAGGAGAAATTCTTGGGGAGAAACCCAGGAGGAGAAATCCAGGAGAAATTCAGGAGGAGAAATCCAGAAGGAGAAATCCTGGAGGAGAAATCCAGGAGGAGAAATCCAGGAGGTGAAATCCAGGAGGAGAAATCCTGGAGGAGAAATCCTGGAGGAGAAATTCAGGAGGAGAAATCCAGGAAGAGAATCTAGGGGGAGAAATCTAGGAGGAGAAATCCTGGAGGGGAAATCCTGGAGGAGAAATTCAGGATGGGAAATTCTGGAGGAGAAACCCAGGAGGTGAAATCCAGGAGGAGAACACAGGAACTTCACACAGCCCACCCTACCCTGCAGCCCCTGGAGCTCCATGGATCCCCTCTCCTCACAAAGGAGAAATCCAGGAGGAGAAATCCAGAGGAGAAATCCAGGAGGAGAAATCCAGGAGAAATTCAGGAGGATAAACCCAGGAGGAGAAATCTAGGAGGAGAAATCCAGGAGGAGAAATCCAGGAGGAGAAATTCAGGAGGAGAAAACCAGGAGGTGAAATCCAGGAGGAGAAATCTAGGAGGAGAAATCTAGGAGGAGAAATCCTGGAGGGGAAATCCTGGAGGAGAAATCCAGGAGAAGAAATCCAGGAGGAGAACACAGGAACCTCACACAGCCCACCCCACCCTGCAGCCCCTGCAGCTCCATGGATCCCCTCCCCTCACACAGGAACCTCACTCAGTCCCAAGAAGAGGTGACAAAGAGAGGGATGTTTCATCCCTTTCTCCTCCTCGTTTGCACAGGTGCATTCCAGGGAAGCACTCCCAAGTCTTATTCATCACCAATATTTGTTCCTCTGAAAATGTTCTTTCATCTTCTCGTCGGTGTCTGGGCATTCATTTTGCTCAAATCCCAGAAACAAGGAACCACATTTGCAGCCCTGCAGCAGGGACTCTGAGGCTCTCTGCCTCTCTTGTTCTTCCCCAGCCTGTCCTGTGGCCACTCCAGTTTTCCTTGGCCATTTCCACTGTGAGCAGAGTGCTGTCCCCCTGTCAGTCTCTCACTCCTCCCCATTTCCCTCTGCTTCCTCCTGGGAACAGAAAAGTGGCTTTGACTTGCTGCTGACCACCCCATCCCACCCATGCCACCATGGTCTTGCCCATTTTCACACCTATATCAGCATTAATAAAGTTTAGGGATGTGTTAATAATGTTTAAGGCCTTCAGGGTGGCAAAACCCAGGATGAGGCAGAGGCCTGTTCCTGGTGGGATTTTCACTGCAGGGTTTTCACTGACTGGCATTGCTGCTTCAACCCAAAACCTCTGCAGTAAATTCAGTGTAACCTGGGTTCTAATTGGGGTAACAGAGCCCTGATGTAATATTTTTACACCTGTGTCACACAGATTCAGGGTTAGGGCAGAAAACCCCCTCCCTGAACCCCATTAATTTTTCCCTGCTGATTTTCTGTGGACACAGAGAGCACAAAGAAAATGTAACAGCTTGGCCAAAGAGCCACTGAACTCCTTGGCCTCACTGCAGGACCAGCAATGTCAAAGCCAAGAGGTAAATGAATGTTTGTTTTTTTCTGAGGGGTCTTGTGATACCTCTGCATTTGCTTCAGCACTGGGCAGGAGTTTGACAGCCCTGCTGCAAACAAACAATTTTCTACAGCAACTGCTCCCCCAGGCCATCTCCTCATGCCTTGCACAACACAGACAGAAAAGCAGAGAGAAAAGACAGAAAGGCAACGTTAGGGCAGAACAAGAATTGCAATTTGGCTTCCTAAGTGCTAATGGCAGCAACATCCCAGTGCCTGACAGAGAATTGCATCACTCCAGGACACAGAGGCCTCCTCAGCCTGGGGCCAGCCCTGGCTGTGAACACACAGCAAACAGCTTTGCCCTGATTTCTGGACTGCTGAGCTTGTTGATGGCAGCAGGAGGTGACAGTGGAAGGTGACAATGCAGGTGACAATGGAAGGTGACAGTGGAGGTGTCAGGACTCACCACAGGTGAGTTCCATCCAATCCCCACCTCAGAGAGCCAGGTGCTGGCTGGAGCTGGGCACTGGCATGGGGTGGCACAGCTCAGGGTCACTTTGGGGTGTTTTTGGGGTGCTTTTTCCAGAAGGTAGCCAGCCCTGAACACATTTTCTCCTTCTGAGCTTCCCAGGGCTGTGAACACAGTCAAAGCCTGTGTGGGCTCAGAGCTGGCTGCAAATGGGACCAGAGCATGGTGTCACCTCGTTCTACTGCCAAAACCTTCCTCTTCCCCCAGCCTTGGTGCTTTACTGTCCTTTAAAACCACCCAAACACCCCAGGAAAGAGAAGATGTTCAGCCTGAGGGACCCAACCCAACATTTCTCCCATTTGGTCCCCTCCAGCTGGAGTCAGGCTGATGTGTGTGAGACACTGAACGTCCTCAGGTTAGAAATTCCATCTGCCAAGGATGTCATCCAGGTGAGTTTACCAGCCAGGAAAAGGAAAGCTGCCAGGAAATCACTCCCACTGCAATCCCACAGCAATCACAGATGGGAAGGGGCTGTGCTCTCCATGTCAAACTGTTTGCCCAGGGATGTAAGGACAGGAAAAAACAATGGCTGGTAATAAATGAAAGGTTGGAAAGATTGTAAAGTGGGATGAAGGAATTTAAGGCAGGGAGTTTATATGGCCTATTTCCTGATAAAATCAGACGTTTCAAAGTGTCCCTACAAAGTGTGGCAACACTGCAGCGAGCCCAAGGCATTTATGGGCAGCAGAAGAGGCAGTTTCCTTGAAAGAGGATATTTCAGGGACATGGTTTTAAAGGTTGCTCCACGGCTCTGTGCCCACTGACACTGGAAGAAACCCTTGAGCCAAAATGTCCAGCAATCCAGAAGGATGCTGGGGGGTTGTTTATCATCCCCTGCTCCTGGGGGGTTATTTATCATTCCCTGTGTGGGAATGCTGAGTGCAGCACTCAGGCCTGTCTGCTCTGGGCTGGACACTGCAAACACATATTTGAGACATGGTCACCTTTCAGTGTGTTTTTCAGTCTTCTCCCTGTAATTTAGCAGTGATGACGGCGTGGCAGACCCTGGGATGGCGACAGCCGCCCTTTAACCAGACTGATTATGGCTTTCCCTTTGAACCAATCTCTCTCCTCGAGGCAGCACCTTTGCCACGAAGCAGTAACCCAGGACAGGCTGTGCCCAGGTCTGCTGCTCCTCCCAGAAATGTCTGTGCTGCCTGGTACCCCTGGAAAGAAGCAGGAGGAGCTCAACCCCAATGCTCCAGCTGGAAAGGAACAAAAACTTGTTCCCTCTGCATTTATTGTCACAGCAGAAATGTGTCTGGGCTGCCTGGTACCCCTGGAAAGAAGCATGGAGAACTCAACCCCAATGCTCCAGCTGGAAAGGAATCTGTGCTTGTTGCTCCCTCTTCGTTTATTGTCACAGCAGAAAGGTGTCTGTGCTGCCAGGTACCCCTGGAAAGAAGCAGGAGGAACTTAACCTCAGTGCTGGAAAGGAACACAAACTTGTTCCCTCTTCATTTATTGTCACAGCAGAAATGTGTCTGGGCTGCCAGGTACCCCTGGAAAGAAGCAGGAGGAACTCAACCCCAATGCTGGAAAGGAACACAAACTTCTTGCTCCCTCTGCATTTATTGTCACAGCTGAAATTCGGACAGGCTGAAGCACTGTCCCCACCATGGCTGAGTGCTGGGGGATGCAGGGCAGACACAGCAGCTGTGGCACCGATTCCTCACCTGCCCCAGGGTTACCTTGCTGTGCTCCAGCTGTCAGCAGCTGCCCGGCAGCTCCCTGCTGCTTTTTGAGCCTCTCCAGCCCCGGCTCCCACCCCAAAGCCGCGTCTGGGGCTTCCCTCTCGCACCACACCTGCGGGGCACGGAGGGGAGGCGAAGCTCGGCCCAGGTGGGAGGGACCGGGCTCCCGTTAAATCGCAGCTCCCGCAGGAGCCGGGCCTTGCACGGACCCACCCTTGTGGTTTATGAGCTCCAGGTGCCTGAGGTGCTGCCGAGGAGCCGCGCAGGAGCGGGGATAACCAGCCCAGGTACCTCCGAGTGCTGATTGCCAGCGCCAGCTCTGCCTCTGCCCTGCCTCTTCCAAGTCCTTTTATTTCCCTTTCAGTTCTCATGCTAATGCTAGTGCAGCTCGTATCTATTCTTCCCTTCCATCTACTCTTGCTGTTGCTTTGCATTTAGCTGGGGGTTATTCTCCTGCCTCGGGAGGAATCTGCTCCTCAGGGATCTCAAATAAGACAAGATGTGGTTGTTCAGTGCTGCCAGGGGGCAGGAACTGAGCGGTGGTGATGCAGGGTGGGGAAGGCAGCTGGATAGTGTTGTGGAATTATGCATATTGCTCTAGCTGAGGTTTTCTCAGTAGTCCGTGGGGTTTATGACACGAGCAATTACCTTTCTGACCCTCTGGAAGCCTATTTAAGATTCCCAGTGGTGTTTGTTGTCTGTGCATGTGTCCCAGTGCATGTTCCCTGCTCTGCCTCCAGTGAGCTCAGCTGAGGTGAAGTGGCTGGGGTTGTGAGCTCCAGTGTCTCCTTCCTGCCCGTGGGAGGCTGTGCTGTGGGAATTGTGGAGAGTTGGAGGCAATAAAAGTGCCATGTGGGGGCAGAGGTTTGTGTGGTGCCACTGAACCACAGCCAGGCAGGAAGGTCAAAGCACAGGGAATGGGGTCATTAACCCCGTGCTGTGAAACCAAAAATGCTGCGAAACCAAAACCAGGTTCAGGGCCTCCGTGCTTGTGTCAGAGGAAAGGGGATTATCTGCAGGATGGCATAGAAACTGTGCAGGTTGGAGTGCTTGGATCTGCTGCTGGCGTGGGTGGGTGTGTAGGGAGGAAAATGGAGTCTGGGGAGGGGAGGAAATTCATCTAGTCCCACCTCAACTGCTTGGAGCCAAGGGAAGAACCTGAAGCATGTTCTCCATGAGGTTTCCAGGCCTGGCTGCAGCCCTGTGCACTACAGGGGATGTGCCCAGGCCAGCACAGGTGTTCAGGGCCCTTCTGAAACACCTGCAGTGTGCAGAGCCCCCCGTGCAGCAGCTGCCACCCTCTCCCCCCCTTTGTCACCCCCTAAATGCAGGGAAGGAGCCTCTCACACTGCAGATTGCTCTGATGCTGCCCCCGAGTCCCACAAGGGCTGCAGGGAGAGGTTCCCATGGTCTCAGAGAAGAAACATCCCAACTCGTTAGTGTCTGTTGCTGTAACTCATCTCCAACATTCTTAGGATTTGCTAATTTACCCTATTTTTAGACAGACACCCTGCTCTAAAGGCCCTGCTGTCCCTGAGCCCCCCCATGTCAACTGCTCACACACAAAGAGGGGAGGGGAAACTTCTGCTGCTGTGCTGGGACCTCTCTTGGAAAGGAGCAGCAGGCTCTGAGCTGCTCTTGTGCCCGGAGAAGCTCTTGCCAGAGGGGAAGGAGCTGTCCCGGGAGAGGAAAAGGCTGTAAGGCAGTGGGAGGGGGAGCTGCTGGAGCAGCGATTTCAACATTCCTGACAACCCGCCGCCTCCAAAAGCCCGGAGACCCTTCCAGAAGTCTGAAGTGTTGCTAAACAAGCAGCACTTTGGGAGGGGGGGTGGTCCCTGGGGGTGGGTGGCTCCTGCTGAGGATGCTCTCGGGTTGCACTGGAGGGTTTCTCGCTGCCCCACATCCTGCTCTGGCACTGCTCGTGTGGATGCCGCGCCATGGTGCAGCTCCAGGGGCTGGGCAGACACCAAGATGCTGTCTGGGATTTCATAAACGCTTATTTTTCTTGCTGCTGAGGCTCCTAAATGCTTGTATCTGACAGAGGGAGGAGGTTCTGACAAAATTCCCCTTGGTCAGCCCCTCCTCGGGGCACCAGGTGCTGGAACCCCTCGGAGCCGGGCTATATCAATATCTGCCATGTGATACCGTGGCTCTCCCTGCTCTGCAGGCAAAACACAGCATAACCATGGGAACTTTCTTCCTCGGCCCCCTCAGCACGCCCCTCTAATCCAGGCAAGCCGCCTGCAGAGATTAAACCGCGTGTAATGAGCTCTGGAAATCCTGGGTGTCCCAGCAGTTCCCTCTGCCCTGCCTGGCCAGGGGATGTGTAACAGCCTTGTCATCGGGAGGCTCCCAGGGCTCACGTTGCGAGGGAAAACAAACCAGCCTTGGCAGCTGCCGGAGCTGTTTTGGGGTCTGCGCAGGCAGGGAGCGAGGCCGTGTCCCGGCTCGGGTGTCTGAGCCCCAAATAACCGCGCTGGGACAGCGCACCCGCAGCTGCCGGTGATGCTG